ATTTTTCCTGCCCAGACCGAAGCCATTTTTTCCTTCATCAAAGGAGATCATGGAGTAGCAAAGAAAGTTCTTTCTGGTTCTAATTCTGAGTTTTCCAAAATTCAGAGGCAGTTGTTCTGATGGGAAAACCTATAATGTAATGCATCCACTTGATACCGGGGCTCAGGACTTTTGTTTGGCATTTATAGCAATGAGACAGCTAAGAAAGCCAAGGTAAAATATATTTGGGGTTAGAACACAGCTAGGGTAGATAAAAGGAGAAGTGGCAGGCAAGTACAGGAGCCAAGCAGTTTAGTCCTGGCTGTGCACTGTGGGACCTTGAGCATTGCCTTTGCTGCTCTGCCTCAAAGCCTTCCCATCTGTTAGGCTCTTGACTTGTGAAATGCAAACCCCCCTCAATACTGGGAGGGGCTACTGCTCCCATCTGACTGGTAACAGCTGCCAATGTCTAGGGTTCATCCAGACAAGATTGACAGATGTGATTCAGGCCTTAATACATGTCTGGAGTTGTCATTTTATTTATTTTCAACATGGGTTGTGTAGTGAAAGTAAGGGGTTGGTTGTGAACTTGTCCTGCTTGTTTGTTTGTGGGTCTCCTAACAGTCTGCTGCTGAACTGTGCAACAGCAAGCATGTATCCTGCAGTCATATGCCTTGGGTAATCTGGGAGAGAATAGTGTGCAGTGAGGGCCAGTGTAGAATTTGGGAAACAATCTGCAGAGGTCATAGAAGAAAAGACAGTATCTGACTTGTGTCTGGCCTTAATACCATGCTACAGATGGTTAGTCCATTTCTCGGAAGGAGGAACAAGGACTAGAAGAGTCTGCTGGGGGGGGATGGAGGGTGTCACAGCATATAGGTAAGAGGAGTCACTTATTACAACACAAGTTTTCTTCTTTCTTCCCCCCCCATGATTACGCTAGAATTGTAGCCTAGGGCTTAGGTAAGGTAGATGGAGGTCCTTTTTGCAACTGATGACCTAGTATTTGTCTTGCCCACAATTGGGACTTTGTACTTAATTACTGTAGATTCTAAGACCAGGCCAAATATTTAAAATATGTAAAAACAAAGGAGTTGTTAGGAATGTCAGTGTAGGGGTGAGCCTACAATATTGTCCACATGTCTGTTCACTCTACCTTACCCATATCTAGTAATGGTGGGAAACTCTTCCATGGAAAGCGTTTCATTGGCACCTGTGAGGAATTTAATGCTGTTTCAAAATATCACCATGAAAATTTCCCCTACAGAGTACAATCAAGACTATACTGGCAAATTCTGAAGTGACAAATAATAGTTCAGTAATGAAATGTACCCTAAAAAATGATCTCATTGTAAAGGTCTAAAATTAGAAATGCCAAAAGCAACTCCCACACTTTGAAATGAACTTAAGTATAATACCTCATTAGAGTTCCATGCCCTAGAATTGGGCCTCTACCCTGACATTAGTCTTCAGACACCACAGAATGTCTGTCAAAGGAAGGCAGTCTCCATTTAAAGATCCCAGGCTCTGCTGGTATGTTCTGAAGAGGGCCAGTAGCTTCTGTTCTGAAACCTGTCTCTCCTCTAGAAGGGTTGGATTTGTGCTTCCATTCATACTGGCAGGACCATAGGTTTAAAAAGTCATCATGGAAGTTCCTGGATGCCAGAACTCCCTGGCAGAATTACAGACCACAGGGAAGAAAGCTGTTTCAAAAAAACTCAGCAAGGGCTGGCTTTAGAAGAATACCCTGGAATAGACAAAATGAAAACCAGTATAATGTAAGACTGGGAGCAAGAAATAAAAAAATTAAGTATCCGGGACCGGAGAGATGGCTCAGTGGTTAAGAGCACTGACTGCTCCTCCAGAGGTCCTGAGTTCAATTCCCAGCAACCACATGGTGGCTCACAACCATCTATAATGGGATCTGATGCCCTTCTCTGGCATGCAGGCATACATGCAGATAGAGCGCTCATACCAAAACAAACAAACAAACCAAAAATAAATAAATAAATTACCCTAAGCATCAAACAATCATCTGGAAATGAAAATTATCTCTAAAATTATATAGTCTGGCCACTGAATTTTTAATTTATTAGATATGACATTAAAAAGAATTAGTGGGAGTAAAATGTACAAGATTGAAGATGTACAAAAGCTATGTTTTAGTGGCATGTGTTTGTAATCCCAGAGCTGGAAAGATATAGACAGATTAAGTGTCTGGAACTTGCTGACCAGCCAGCCTAGCCTACTTCAGACCATTAAGAGACCCTACTGCAATAAATAGACAGACAGACAGAAGATATAGATGTACTATGTCTGTGAAAAGAAACCCAAGGTTAACCCTCTGACCTGCATATATACATACACACACACAAACACCCACAGAATAACCAGTGAATTAATTGTAGCTTAAGAAATTTCCTGAATGAGACAGATTAAAATAGGAAATATGAAAGACATGAGAAAAAAAGACTAAGGGTTAATGGATCTGGTTAGAGCTACAGGGGAGAGGAGGCAGGCATTCCTCTCTAAAGGATAGTGAAGGAGAATCATTCAGAAAGTATAATGAACTATAAGCAAGAAGAGAGTAAGTATAAATATAAGGATTAGGTTCCTTAGGCCTGAGAGCAGAGAAGACATTGTTGAACAGCACTGACAGAGTCATAGGCCTCTTCTACCCCAGCAGCCAGGAGCCCTTTCACTCAAGGAATGTTCCCGAGAAAGCACATTCTGTCCTTGATGCGAAAAGCCACTGTGCATCTAGAAGGCCTTTCCTCTGATAGACATAATGGCAAAAAGGAGTCATTCAGAACAGGCTGCCAGTGCATTTATCTAGTCTCCCTGAAAGCCACACCAGCAGTGCCAAGTGCTGCGAATGAGAAAGGGTCAATGGGTGATCCAACTCCAAGCTAGGAAGTGGTTATTGGTGTCTTACGTTTTCCATCTGAGTGATAAAACACAACTATCTTACCTCCAAGGTCTGACATGAGACGTGGGTACAAAGAAAGGTACTGCAGAAAAGCAGAGCACTATCACATTCCTTGTCTGCCTAAGAGAACTGCCACAGCTAAGATCTCTTCTTGAGGGTTGGCAGTCTGTGAGTCCATCCATTTCCCATTCTCTGTTTCTCAGACCCTCTATCCTAGAGCTCTACTCAAAGCAAAGTCTAAGGAACACGGTTTTAAAGGGGACTCTTGGATCCATTATACAGTCCTCCCCTGCTGCCCTTCTGTAGGCTCAGGTATACGTGTGATCCTCCTACCTGCCACTCATTCAAGTGTTCTACTTAGCAACTTACTAGACACCATTTGGAATTCGTATGAAGTCTACTTTGCTTCCATTTGAATAATAGAAACAAAAATCAGTGTAAAATGCCAGAGGAACTCTGGTTGTCTGCAGGAACTAGTAGTTTCTCCTGCTTCCTGCTCTGTTCACCTCCAGTAACTGTGACAGTGGCTGTGGAGCTGGGGTCACCTGAGCCCACAGTTTAGGTCAGCTCTACAGACTGTCAGGCTATTCAGCATCTGGTGGTGGTGGTCAGTACAGGTAGCATACCCTGCATCTGCAACACAGCCCATGTCCCTGTCAGGTAACTCTGCCGTTTTTTGGACACACTAAGCCTGGGTGCGCTCTGAACCAAGGCACATGACAGAACTTTCGGTGTCCTTTGAGGGGCTTCTTTGGTGTCCATCTTTTTACCCCATAAGTCTGATACAGTTTAATCGGCAGGCACTCAGGTTTGCTGGCCTTTGAGACTGGGGAGTGAAACTGGACAGTTGCGGGTACCAGTTGTTGCATGTGCTTAGAGAAAGCTGCATTTACAGTGAAGTGGTTCAGACTTTGAGGAAAACACATTTCAGAACCATTTCCACTCCCATTTGTACAAATCAGTGGTGAAGTTCTAAGATGTTTGGCTATGTGAGAAGTAGCTATGCTCAGGAACCAAGTTCTTCAGGGGAAGGGGAGCAGAGCAGTGGTAATGCATGTCCCTGAGCATCTTTAAGAACAGTGAAACACCCCTGCTGAATGAGAGCTGGTAGTCACTGAGCTGCCTAAAAGCCAAGACTGATAGCCTTCCCAGTCTGTGTGTTGCCTGGTTGGCAGCAGCTGTTTTAGAGGATAGACGGGTCTTTTGTTCATAGCTTCCCTGCAAGGAAAAGGCCCAGGGTGGGATCCCAGCCTGAGCCTTTGAATGAATGACCTGCTAAAGAGTACATGTGTCTTAGGCTGCTAGCCTAGTACATTTATCTTTACAATAAACAGGTATGTGGCCACCTTTAGTCCAAGGAGGTAGAGGCAGGCTGATTGATCTCTTGAATTCGAAGCCAGCTTGGTCTACATAGTAAATTTAAGGTCAGTCAGGGCTACATAGTAAGACCCTATCTCAAACAAAACAAACTCTATAGGTATGGCTGTGCATGCCTATAAGTCTAGCCCTTATGGGAGTGGAGAGCAGCTTGGGCTATATGAGACCATTTTAAACACACAAAGCAAAATACCACCTATAACTTAGTTGATAGGGTTGCCAAACTTTAAAAAACAAACATAAAAGTGTGCTTTATGATCTGAAGACACACTAACCTGCACTATATCAGATACTGCATAAAAGCAGAGTTGACCACTTGGAGTTCTTAATGTAATTAGCAAGTGTCACCCACAGCTGGGAGTATGTGTAGCCTTTTAGAGCAGCATGGTTTTCTGACATTTTGTTCTTGCCATATTCTTAATGTATTTTTTTCCCTTTCTCACATTTGTATATCATGGCTTGTTTATAAAATTAGCTAGTGGCCTGAAGTATTTAGGTTAGTTTTGCCATGAGTTGTTAATCAGGCGAATGCCACTGCCTACAGGCTTGTCACATTAAAAATCTTCTAAGTCAGCAAGCCACAAATTTAGTTTTTAAGGCAGTCTGAAATACTTACAAACCAGCTGAAGACCAGAATGAGTCTTCAGTGACAGGTAGTCATGTTATCTACTGAGCTTACTTTCTTAAAGGCTGTCACCTACCTCTAAAGTCAGGCTAGTTCAGAAGCTAGTTTATTCCAGCAGAGGGTCTTCTGGATAGGAAGGGAAGAAGATTACTGCCAGTAAGAGTCTCATCCGCATTCTCCCCTTGCCAGAGGTTTTTGGCAAATCCAGGCTATGTAGCTTGTACCCTGTGACCTAGAGAACCCTGAACTGGTTTGGCTCTGATCAGGCCTTACCCCGATCTCCACCACCACAAGAGGAGTGCTGCTAGGCAAGAAGCATAGCAAGAGCCTTTGTGTTCCCAAGTCATGGACTCCGGAGTGTCTTTTCTCTGCATCCCACCTCTTTTAAGAGCAGCAGCAGTCTTTCCAGTAGAGGTTGGCAGGGCATTTTGTCACTGGTCAGAGGCACCCAGGATCTGCTTGTTAGGAGGCGGTTAAGATGGAACAGCTGAGCTGTTACATCGTTCTTGTTAGTGCTCTGTGTTGATGCCTTTAGATGCCTCCAGCTCAGTCCATGTTGTGGTACTGCAAGGCTGGTACGGTCCTCGAAGCACCATGGCATGAAATGGAGGTTCCTAGAAGCAAGAAGAAAGGTACAGTACTGACAAGTTGGCCTTGATTTATTTACATATATTAAACTGTGTCTGCCGTTTTATATCTGCACTGTTTGTTTGGAGGAGGGCTGGGAAGTTTAATTGCAGACACGTGTTAATAATAGAGACCTGTCCCCTGTGGGCCAGGTTAGTGGTGTTGAACCATTCTACTGCCTTCCGTGTATAGCGCCTGTAGGGAGCAAATGGTTGGTGGAGACTGAGACTTAGATCCGATGGGCTGACAACAGGGCATTTATACTGTGTCTTTCACAGCTACTGCTCACAGAGTGGGGTGATGTCAGTACTTCAGCACTGTCACTTCCCCAATAGACCTTCCTTGTTGCTCTGTAAGCTATCGGGTGGAATGAAGGGGCTCTGTAACATTACTTAAAAATTCCAGCTCTGAGGATTGAGCATGAAGTCTCCCCTCCCTTTCTCCCTCGCCTGCCACACAGAGAAGCAGGGTCCTGAGCGGAAGAGGATCAAGAAGGAGCCTGTTGCCCGAAAGTCCGGGCTACTATTCGGCATGGGGCTGTCTGGGATCCGAGCTGGATACCCTCTCTCTGAGCGTCAGCAGGTGGCTCTGCTCATGCAGATGACTGCTGAGGAGTCTGCAAATAGCCCAGGTGAGCCCCAGGCACCTGAGTGGTTCTTTGGATAGGGAGGGAGTGGCTGTACTTGGCAATGGGTCCTGTGTGAATCGCCTTTCCCTCGTGAAAATGATTGGTTCTTGGGAACCATGAAACAAAGCCGCCTTCTATAATGCCCTACTTGTTTCCTCCTTGGCCTGCAGTAGATACAACACCAAAGCATCCCTCCCAGTCTACAGTGTGTCAGAAGGGGACCCCCAACTCTGCCTCAAAAACCAAAGATAAGGTAAACAAGAGAAACGAACGAGGAGAGACACGTCTGCACAGAGCAGCTATCCGGGGTGATGCCCGGCGCATCAAGGAGCTTATCAGCGAGGGCGCAGATGTCAATGTCAAGGACTTTGCAGGTCAGTACTTGCTGCTTTTGGGCAGCTTGTTTCCTGGAGGGTGGGCCTCCTGCCCTTGTTACCAGAACATGGGAAGGAAGTGTTTTTGTGGAATGTGGTTGGTTTCTGTGCCTGACCTCACGCCCACACAATATGATTTGCTGCTGAGTCTCTAGAAAAGTATTCCAAGATTTTATTTTTGCTATTTTTAAGCAAGCAAGGGACTTTAAATATTTACCTTCTATGGGTCTACTACAAGAGGCGTTCCTGGAGGGTCTTGATCTGTTGTTTAACAGAGGCCACTCTGCTATAGATTGAGCACTCAAGATGTTTCCAACAGAGGTTGGACTAGACATAAATCGAGGCACCTCCCCAGATGTGCTAATCCAAGGCTTTGTGTGTGTGTGTTTGTGATTAGAGCACTGGGCTGCCTTTTTGAGATGTGCTACCTACCCCACACCATGATACAACACTGTAAGAGAACTATGTGTTCACAATGCAGTGATAGCTAGAGGTAATTGAGCTGGCTGATCTGGTATACATGTATGAAATTCTCGAAGGATTTTCTTAAAAGGCTATCTCAGAAAAGACAGTGGTAGAGGGTTGAGGCAAAATCAACTTTGTGTGGAACCTTGGATTTCTCTGCTGCCTAGTTGATGATTGTCTGATTATGCCTAATTTAGTGTGTTATTTTAAAAGTGTCCCTTAGGGAACGTGGAAGCTGCCTGTAAGCACTGCCCTTAGACCCCTCTCCAGAGCCCAGGGGCCTCCTGAGTGACTGCAGCTGATGCTGCACAAATTTTCTGTCCATGTACAGTCACTTCTACAGCTTATAAATCTGGAGTATTAGTAGGCTAGACATTCATTATGCAAAGCACCACAAGCCAAAAAAAAAAAAAAGACACCTTCTCTGGGTATAATCGGCTTTCTTAGGGAAGAGCAGCATCCTACCTCTGCCCTACCTTTTGTCATTCACTACAATTTAGGCAGGAGCTAAGTTTTCAGGGATTTAATAACAAATACCCCAAATTTCTGTTTTCAGGCTGGACTGCACTTCATGAGGCGTGTAACCGGGGCTATTATGACATTGCCAAGCAGCTATTGGCCGCTGGTGCAGAAGTGAACACTAAGGGCCTGGATGATGACACGCCTTTGCATGATGCTGCCAACAACGGACACTACAAGGTTGGCATCTCCCTGTGGCCTTCCAGTGGCTTCTCTATTCTTAACTTCCGGACCATTCTACAGCTTCATGTTTTAGCTAGTTTCCCCTGTTGCCCTCAATCCCCTTTCCAGCCCTAAGGCCTAGCTCTCAGTTTTGATGACTAATAGGACTATATTAAATGTACAGTATTGGCTCTGTTGGTCTGGCTAGATAACAGTATGAGTTACTGTTGCATCCCTGTTACCACGGATACTGATCCCATCCAGAAGGTCAATCCTGAGGTCTTGGGTAGAGTAACACTTGAGAGTTTGAGTCAGCACATGGGAATATAGTCAAAATTAGATTACTGTGGATGGTCAGTACCTCGTGTTTTAGGAACAGGGCTTCCTGCAGGGTTATAGCAGGAAACACCTAAAATCTGTTGGACATACTCCTTCCTGCAAGAGAATGGGTTGCAGAAGTGACTTCATTACCAGCCAGACTCCCTTTGAGGGGACAGGACAATAAGAATGGTGAGGATGTGAACATCTGCTCAAGTTAATAGTACTAAAAAGCAGCCCCTGTGTGGCTATTTTGAGAGGTACCAGAAAAGTAAACCCAGTGGTACACAGTGAATCATTGTGGGTTGGGGCTTCTGAATGAAATGATCAGTTCAGTGAGACAGTCAGAAAAATTGACACTGATTTGATGTAAGGATCTATTAAAATTTTAGGTAAGATAATGTCATGATGGTTTATTTGCTTGTTGGTTTTTAAGGACCCTTGTAGAAAAATGTGCTGGAAAAGTTTATCAGATGTCTGAGAAGTGGGCAGTTTGAGTAAAGCTGGCTGTGAGCTAGCAGGTGATAAAACTGGAGGCAAGGGCTAATTTCTGACAACAACCTATACAGTGAAGGAAGGGTCCAGCTTTATCGGTACCTTGATGTAAGCCAAGCAACTGAAACTGATTCCTTCAGACTAAGACGGGTTGTGGTGATTTGTTAAAACAGCAGTAGAAAACTTATGCACTGAGAACTCTCCATTCTGATGATCCAATGCAAAATATTACCTTGAAACACTGTGAGTGACAAGAGGATGTATTAAAGCCTGAACTGAAGTTGAGGGTAGATTGAAATTTGATGTTTGCATTGAAGTGGGTTTCTGTCTCAGGCATATGAAACACCGAGTTGCTGATTATAAATGGTTGAATAGAGCTATTGAAATGTCACCTTGAATGCTTCTGTCACCCATGTAACCATCTTTATGCATGTAAAATCAAGCAAGGAGGAGTTATCTTATTTTCTAATGTAAATGAAAATAAATAAACCAGCTTACAGAAATGTGGTCTTTGTTTTCTCTATTTTCCACACCCCAGTCCTCCAAAGATAACTTCCTCTATGTACCTACCCTTCGGATCTGCACTGCTGACCAGCTCTCTCTTGGTGGGAAGGGAGCATGTGAGAAGATTTTGGGGAAAAGATAGCACATCAAGGAGAGATGGAGAAAACACGGAGGAAGTGACCTGCTTTTGGAGGGGAACCCTGTGCAGTCTCTGACAAAAGAGGAAAGCCTTGCTGGGCCCTTTAGAGACCTTGCCATAATGGCTCTGCACATAGCACTCCCACAGCAGGGTTTAGAATGGGCTATAGAGTAACTTTTTTCAGATAGTCTGCTAATACTATTATTAATGTTTTGTAGGTGGTGAAGTTGTTGTTACGCTATGGTGGAAATCCTCAACAAAGCAACAGGAAAGGCGAGACACCGTTGAAAGTAGCCAATTCCCCAACGATGGTGAATCTCCTGTTAGGCAAAGGCACATACACTTCCAGTGAGGAGAGCTCCACTGGTAAGCCAGGCAGACAGATCACGTGAGTGGGTGGGTGAGACACTGTACTCCCTAATCAGCAAATGCCTTGCGGTGTCTACATATGGTATTCCCCTGCAGATTGTCACACAGGGTCTACAAGCCTCTTCAGGTGGCTGGTGCCTTCAGAAACTTCCAGATACAGGAGTTCTGCCAGGGTGCCTCACTGCCAAGATGCCTGCACTCTGTCTGCTGAGATGCCAGCCTTGTCTCTCACAAAGCCCAGTGGGTTCCTTCTGCCTGAGGTTGGCCTCAGATGTGACTAAAGTAAAGTGCTTCTTCAGAAGCAAAGCCAACCAGCCTGCCCTTCTGTCCAGCCATGCGTTGGGGAGGCCTGTTCCCTCCATAGCTACAGAGCATTCTTAACTGATGCTAGGAAAATGATCTGACCTGCCTGATGTCTCCCTTCCTGTTTCCAACAGAGAGCTCTGAAGAGGAGGACGCCCCATCATTTGCACCTTCTAGCTCCGTCGATGGTAATAACACAGACTCTGAGTTTGAGAAAGGCCTCAAGCTTAAGGCTAAGAATCCAGAGCCCCAGAAAACTGTGACCCCTGTCAAGGATGAGTATGAGTTTGATGAGGATGATGAACAGGACAGGGTTCCTCCAGTGGATGACAAGCACTTGCTGAAGAAAGATTATAGGAAAGAAACTAAGTCAAACAGTTTCATTTCAATACCCAAAATGGAAGTTAAGAGTTACTCAAAAAATAACACACTTGCACCAAAGAAGGCAGCCCATCGCATCTTGTCAGACACATCAGATGAAGAGGATGTGAGTGTTGCCATGGGGGCTGGAGAGAAACTGAGGTTGTCAGCACACACAATGCTTCCTAGTAGTAAAGCACGAGAATCTTCTAGTTCTAGGCAGCAGAAAGAAAAAAATAAATTGAAAAAGAAGCGTAAGAAAGAAACAAAAGGCAAAGAAGTTCGGTTTGGAAAGAGGAATGACAAATTCTGTTCTTCTGGGTCAGAAAGTGAGTCCTCAGAGAGTGATGA